ATTGGTTAGGGAACATCGAATCCCCCCCTACGTAAATCGGTTAGAGTAGAGGCAACATCAGACTGGAAATGGAGAGTAACGAGTATTGACTATTAGTATGACCATTCTGTCTGATATCAGGCAATAGATAGTGGTAAAATAGGGAAACCCATGCAATTCACTGTCTAATAAACAAAGAGGGGTACAAGGTGCTCGATTACACAGATCACCATAGCAACGGTCCTCCCTGCATGGCGGTCGTTTCATCCTCCCTTCCAAGAAGAGCTAAGCTATGGTGCTAGTAGTCAGTAGCTAAACGTGCTAGCTCTGGCTAGCTTGGGCTAGCTTGGGCTCCTTACCGGTCATGCTGGGGTCGCGGCTGAGGCCGCTGTGTAGTTTACAGTGGACCAGGGCGGCGTCGAACAGCCACTGGCCGAACAGGTTGAGGATGCTGTTGACCTTGGGTCGGGCGGGGGCCGGGAGGGGCCGGGACTCCCAGCTGGTCTGGTTGGGGCTGGACAGCAGGGTAGGGGAGGAGGACTGTTGTTGTTGTTGCTGTTGTTGCTGGGAGGCTTTAGTTGGTTGACTCCCACTGCCCTGAGAGGTGGAGCAGAGAAAGGAGGGTTAGTGATAAGGAGCTACCAGCTGTCAACATTGGGATTTGAAAATAAGTGACATTTTCAGGCGCCCTGCCCCGGGCCGTCCCATCACCCCTACCAATGTCCATATACCCCTTACATTTAGACAAGGGTATAGGACTGTCCCGCCACCCCTACCACTGTACACATACCCCTTACATTTAGACAAGGGTACACATACCCCTTACATTTAGACATGGGTACACACAGTGAATCCTAAAATCACCACTTGGCAACCACTTGCGTTAAAATGTCAGTGCAACAAGGTTTGGGTGAACTAGCTCCTACGTTATGTAAGTGACTACAAGGTTATTAAATGGTTTATGTTCTTAGAAACCTTTTATAAGAAAGGTTAAAAATACAGGAGATTTACCGGGAAAATATTTAAACGGGAGGACAGCGGGAGAGAAGGGTAAAATACGGGTGAATCCCGGGAAAAACGTGAGGGTTGACAGGTATGGGAGGTACAGGTAGGGGGGTGGGCTGGTCGTTCAAAACGGAGATGATGGAACCACAACCATTGGCTGTCGTAGTGTTGTTGTTGCGGGAAAGTATGAGTGGAGCCTAGTTTATTTATTTTAGTATTTAGTTATTTTCGTGAAGTTTAGTCCTTGTTAATGGACATCAGGGACACACAACACTATAGGCCGTCGTAGTGTTGCTGTGGTTAAGTATTTATTTAAGTTGAGCTCATTCATTTTGGTTTATATAGTTTAGTATATTCCCTGTTAGTCTGCGGAGGCAATGTCACTTTTGGTGGTCTATTCTCACTTCTTGTGGTCTAATTCAATCATATGAGACTGATTTGTGACATAGAACAGGGAATGTGTTCCTGTTGTATTGCACTAGTTCATTACAGAGCTTATAACTACCTTAATATCTGGTCTTACAAGCCATTAGGAAGGTTATTAGGAACACATTATTTTATTGTAACATGACTCCCATGTTTCCCTCTTTTATTCCAGACCAAGTCTATCAGGTAGAGGAAGTAAAAAAGTGTAAGTTGGATAAAACTCCCACATTCAGCAGCTTGTATTGCCGCACCACCACCAAGGTCATAATTAAAAACACAAGATGGCAACTTATCACAATTCTCTTCATTCATAAAGAATTACCTTTTCAGCCTTTTGTCATTTGAAAAGCTAAGGTCTAGACCGCCATCAAACACTACATCACACGAGACTCACAGTGGAGGAGCTCTTGCTGGTCGTCTTGGTAACCGCCGTGTGTCGCTGCTTGCGGCTGTGGGGGGGTGTGGTGTTGTTGACCGAAGGTGGCGGAGACATGCTCAGTCGGTTGACAGGCGTGGGCGGGGCACTGTCGGCTCTGGGCCGCGAAATGCCTGTCGGGAGGGGGACAGGTGAGCACAAACAGAACGTTATTAAAAAAGGTAAGGAATGATTAGAGGAATGATGGTTTCATTTTTATACTTTCATGGTGGAGTTTACCTTGCTGTACTTTTGTACCTGTTTTCACACACAAAAAAAATTTTTTGGATAAGCAAGCAAAGTCAAATATGTATAAAAATCATTCTTTGTTCAGCTGCTCTTTAGGAGATTTGAATGTTGTGCAGTGATACTTCATGTTGTGGGTTAAATTATCTTTACATACACAATTGGTGGTGTATCCCAGTTTTACAGAACAATTTGAAATGTTAGCTTCAGTCGGCATTTTGGTTAGTTAGTTCATCCTGTTAATAAAATCTCACGCACGCACGCAGACGCACACACACACAACTTCCCCACACAATCTTCATTAATTGTTAGATATGAATCACTTTTATCAATCCACCTTGATTAGATAGATAAACATATTTTGTGCTGGCAACTGTTGATGTATCATCTTGTAGGCGAAAATACAAATCGACATGGCTGAAGCACAAAAGAGACCAGATTCATCCGTCCATTCACCACCATCATCATTATCACCACCCTGTCACCCAGAAGGCCATTTGGGTATTAAAATATGCGGACGTTGTTTTATACCATGAAGGAGGCCAGGACTGAAAGAGCTTGCTCTCTTGCTCACCTCTCTGTGCTCAACAGAGACACCTACAGTTCAGGGAGAGAAATACAAGCCAACATGCTGCCGCTGTAACATTACAAGCAGGGAACACTCACACACACATGCACTGGCCAAACCTTGGACAACTTCTGATGTTTGTCTTTAGCTGGTCTTTAGCTAGCTCATCTCTGGTGTTCTCACAGGCGCAGCATTTATTTTGTGCATATTTTATAACTCACCAATGTCGTAATGAAGGCAGTATCTAACCACAAATGATGCGTCTCGCCTCCAATGTTTCATGGGAGTATATTTTGTAAGATGTATTTTCAACAAATATGTTGTATTAAAATAAACATTGAGAATGGTATCATCTCACTCAAGCCCTCACAAATGACTTGGAGGTCCAAAACAGATATTTCAGAAGTTTATTACGTACCAGAGTCCAGTTTTACCAGCACAGTAAACGTTACCTTAATGCCCCACAATAAGAATCACATGAAGAACTGGTGATGGTTAAAGTTTGCACTTGAACGCTCCCCGGTCTTTCCTCTCTTACCTTGTGTGTGTGTTTTATCACACCAGGTTAATGAATTCAAGGAACAGGACATAAATACTTTAAATTACTCTGAATGAAAGCTATTTGTTGACAGGCAGAAATGACAGGCAGCCATTTTATAAATACTCAATTTCAGATTTTTAGATTTTAGAAATAAACATACTACTACTACTACTACTACTAATACTACTACAACCCACCGTGATATACAACGTTTGAACGCTGCTCTACAACACACCTGTTACTACAGTACAACCCAACCGTTAGCTGTCTCTTTTGAATGCCACTCTACATCCACCTGTTAGCAGACTGTTGAACACTTCTCTACAACCTGCTTGTTAGCTAACAGGAAGCATTCAAGAGACATCCACCTGTTACTACAGTACAGACCACTTATTAGTCCCTATGTCAGCACACCTGTAACGCGTCTCTTGAACACTACCTGTAACCAATCTCTTGCACACTACCTGTAACCCAACTCTTGCACACTACCTGTAACCCAACTCTTGCACACTACCTGTAACCCATCTCTTGCACACTACCTGTAACCCATCTCTTGAACACTACCTGTAACCCATCACTTGAATGCTACTCTACAACTACCAGCTGGGTCCTTTTTGCCTGCTAGAGTTGAAAGACCTACCGGCCAAGCAACTGTTTGAATATGTAACCCTGCATTTGTTTACCTGCCTAATGGTCAAATCTTTCATCCATTGGCTGGTGGCAGGTGTTCACCTGTCTCTTAAACACTACCTGTCGCGTGCATCTCTTGAACACTACCTGTACGCCTTCCCTCTCCGTCTAGCGCCCAGACTGCTGGTTCCTCTTACCTAGGAAGGCGTCCACCAGGCGGCTGACGCCCCGCATGGCCCTGAAGAAGATCTGGGGCAGCTGCTTGAGGCAGGGCAGCAGCACCACCTCGTGAGGGATGCCACTGGAGCTCAGGAACTGCTCCTGGAACTTGGGAGTGGTGCTCACGATGGCCGGGTTGCTCAGGTCTACTGGGTTACTATGGAGAAAGACATGCAAAGTGTGTTGTGTGTTAATGTGTGTGGGTGGTGTCTATGGTGGGTGTATCCCATTTGTTTTTGTTGTTCTGTTTTTTGTTTTGCTTATTTTGCGGGGGGGGGGGCTCAGGTGCAGAATGGGTCCTCTACCAACTGTTTCTACATTTCTGGGAGACATTTCCATACATTTGCATTATGCCTGGCAGTGAATAAATAAAGCTTTGTAGAGGCGACTGAATGCAAACATATGAAACAGCCATGTAGATACTCTCTGGGGTGAGCGACAAACCTGAGCATGTGCAGGAAGCGATACCAGGTCTGAGCCACGCAGTCGTTGTCCATCTCTACTGGGATCAGGTTGGCGTCTTCATCGGGGACTTTGAAGGGAGGGAAGGACGGGCCGTGGGTGAACCTAAGCAGTCTGCAGAAAGACACAGAACCAGAAGAACTGCTTTATCCAATGGGACTTACAGTGAATTTAATTAAACATGTCATTCATTACAAATACGTGAAGCAACGGCAGCTATTCAATGCAGAAGTTTAATTTAGTCTATTTCCCTGTTCTGAAACTATTCAAACTGGTTGGTGTTTAGTGTACCAACACAGGCAGTGGTCTGTCAGTCTGCCTCAATGGTCTGCATTTATAGAGCACTTGTCAGACCTGTGGCCACTCAATGCACTTTACAATTACTGCCTCACATTCACCCATTCATAAACACATTCATACACCGACGGCGGTGTCAGCCATGCAAGGTGACAGCCAGCTCGTCAGGAGCAGTTAAGGTTAGGTGTCTTGCTCAGGGACACCTCGACACCTGGCTAGGAGCCGGGGATCGAACCAGCGACCTTCCGGTTGCCAGATGACCTGCTCTACCTCTTGAGCTACCGCGCATGCCATCCATCCATCATCATCATCATCATCATCATCCTCATCCTCCTCCTCCTCCTCCTCCTCCTCCTCACCTGGAGGTGAGGGCGCAGGCCGCCCGGCTCCACTGCTCCACCACAGGGGGGTGGTGTCTCCAGTTGACCAGCATGTCGCGGGCCGTCTTCCAGTAAGGGGGGGTGGGGAAGCAGCGGGCACACGCCAGCAGCCACACCTCCAACAGCACCGCCATCAGCTTCTCCGCCAGCTTCTCCGCCACGCCCACTGTGGAGCAGAAAGCAACATGTCATGGTGGGAGGCGGGGGGGGGGTCAACATTGAAGGTCCCCTATTTTCACCACGCCTGGTGGTAAAATAGTGGCCCTTTAAAGTCATGCATACTCAATGAGTAATAAGTCAGATGATTTACTTGTAAATGAGCAAATCATTCTAGTGCTTTAGTAGTCTCTTGTTGTAATGTTGAGTCAACACATTGCTCGCAAAATGTTTTCTGGCTAATATTTAGTTGGCAGCAGCACCGGATAAACTGTGCATACAAAGAACATGTATTTGAATGTTGTAAAAATGATTGGTCCTTCTTAGCCCTTTGTACAGCTGTTTGCTCAAATGTATATCCGTGATTGGGATTTTAAACTCATTTCTTGTTTCTTGGGTTGTTTCCCTTGCTACTCACTTGCTACTGTGGTGTCGTTTTGCACAAAAAGCACTAAATAAATAAAGTTTGGTTTGATTAGATTAGATCTGAGGTCATTCAAGGCTCTACTCCTAGGGCTTTAAATACCATTGACTGGTAAGGTAGGTGTACGGACATATCTCACTCTGTCAGGTGCTCCAGGCTATCAATCTAATCTCACATCCGAGGGGCGGAGTCAGCCACAACAGAAAGCAGTCGCTTATCAGTGGGAAAAGAATGCAGGATTGTGATTGGCTGGGGCTGGGGCTCACCTCCTGTGGTGGGCGGGGCCAGCAGAGTGTCGTTGACGCGCAGCAGGAAGAGCAACAGCACCTCCCAGGTCTCTCTCACCATGGAAACGGACTCGCGAGCCAGCTTCTGGACGGCAGTCAGGACCTGCTGGCACAGCCTGATGTGGTTCAGGCTGTGTTGTTCTGGTCTGGACGGATGGACGGATGGACAAACGGACCCTGATTACTTTGTTTATTTATAACAATCCCAGACAGAGCTCAAGATAGAAAGGACTGTGTGAAGTTAGATAATAAAATGAATAATACACGATGAACACAAAACGCACTAGAAAGATCTACACAAAATATACAAATACATAAAATACCTGTCCATCTATAAATAGATGGACATGTGAAGAAAAGGAAACAGGGGTTGAAATAAGGCTGTTTTACTCGCCAAATGCGAGTAATTTTTGTATTTGTCGAGTAATTTATGAAGACCACTCGCCACTCTGGCGAGTAATCTAAAAATTCGGCGCGATTGCCGCGGACCCGCCAGCAACGGACCCGACCGCGCAGCACCCACCGCCGTCTACAATCGCGCAGCTCCCCCCCGCTTCCCCCCGCTCAACAATCGCTCACCGTGAATATCCACTATAAGCGAATGATCGCGCGCGATGTGCCGCCTCCATTCACTTTCTATGGGACGCGAGCAATTCGCTGCGCAAAGCACGCTGGGATTGTTTGCGGCGCGGAGCCGGCTGCGGCGCTGCCTGGCTCCGCTTCTGAATTTGCATAAAGTTGGGAGATTTCAACTTTATGCAAATATTCGCGCAGCGAATCCACGCGGTCACCATTCAGCAAACAGGACGTGGGCGCGGGCCGTGACGTTGACCCTTCTGATTCATTACCACAATGCGGGCGGGAGCTAGTTGATCCACTAGTCAACACGCCCCCAGCGAACGAGTCTTCACGGCGGCGCGATGTCACGCGGATAATTCGCGTATAGTGGATATTCACGGTGACCGTGAATATCCACTATCCACTATGAATGCCTCGTCAATCTGTCTCGTTGCACGCGACCCGGCCGGGACCCCCACCTTGGTGGATCTTGGTCTTGAGTGGGGGTGGCCAATGGCCATCTTCACAATAGTAAATAAAATATGCCCAGAATAAACACAAGTGTACATCATTAACTTTAAAACTCATCATTGCTAAATCAAGTCTATTATCTTGCTGATATATTAAACATCCAATAATCTACTACCCCCCCCCCCCCCCCCCATCCCGCTGAGTTTGGTTTGTCTAACTTTACCTTGAATTGGGGGAATGGGGCATTTTGATCCTGACATGTCATTATGCATACATTAAATAAATCTGTTGAACTCAAATTAAATACATATGTTAACATATTCAACCAGACACAATGTTGTATTTGCTATTATTCACACATTTATTAACACCATCACCTCCCCCAGTTGGTTTGTCGGAGTTGAACTGTAACTTCATCTCTGAATGGTAACTTAACTGCATTCGTGATTCGTTTGAATGTTGTGAACGAGGGAGGAGGCGACTCGGCCCCCCGGTCAACAATCGCAACAATCGCCCCGCCCCCCCCCCCCCCCGTCAACAATCGCGCAGCGCCCCTATTTTTGTCTGGTAAAAAATCTGTTTGTCTAGTAAAAATTGTCATCTACTCGCCAGTTGTCTGGTAAGCCAAAATTTTTGTTTCAACCCCTGTTTATAAACCAACATATTTGATGGTATCGTTTTGATAAAAAATATATTTACAAACCTGCACATGCAAACGGACTGCCTAATGATAAACCCACAAGCAAACTACTACTAAACACTTAGTGTTGTGTCTGTGGTGGCGTCTAGTTGCCCTTTTATGGAAGTGTATCATATCTTAAAAGCATCGCATCCCACCCAGGACCAGAGGCACGGTCGCTGGTGCGTTTATCCACTCCATATGTGGTCATCTCTCTCTCTGTCTGTCTCCCTCGCGTTGGCCCTCGAACCTCTTCGGAGAGGTATGTACTAATCCCACTCTGGTCTCCAGTCAGGTGCTGTGATCCACCTCATACCTCTCATTCTCTTGTGGTGAGGTTTCTGTGAGAAAGTGCCATGAGAGCACACACACAAGAGAGAGAGAGAGAGAGAGGGCGTTGGGTGTCTGGTTGGCACATTCCTGAACACAGACTGGCAGAGGCAGGAGACCGAGAGAGAGAGAGACGGAGAGGAAAGCACCTAATTGGAGGGACTTGGGTCCACGGTGGATCAAGGTGCCCAGAGGGCTGCGCGGTGGGCACATACCGCCTCAAATGCCATCGCCTGCATTCTTGTCATTTAATTAAACCCACTTGTGACCCAGACACACACTTTAAAAACGTTTTATGTGTACCGAAGCTGACAGTTTTTGTTTCTTTTAAGATGGCCAACCAAGCCCTTCTCATGTGATGATTACTCTTTATTAAAAAACATAAAACGTAGGCTGGCCCTTTCATCTTCATTGTGGTAAGAGGTTTTTTTCCTTTGAAAACACCATCTTTTCATATTCATAATTGTATTGCGGTATCTTAATATTATATTCAGAATAGCATTTTCTCTTTGTATATTATAATTGAAGCATTCGTTTCTTTTAAGGCCCATTCAGCGAAATGTTACGGTGGTTAAAAATGCAACAACACAGTGCACGGAGTGAATGAGGTCACAGACTGAGTTGGAAAGAGATGACTTCAGACGGGACAGTGAGTCTGAACCCATTTGATTGAGCACCTAATAAATACCACAACTGGGTGGCAACCGTAAATCAGGGCCCTGAAGTTAGCTGGTATCCCTTTACTGAGCGATGGAAATATCGCCTGGGATCCATTCCTCTGCCCCCGCCCATCTCACCTCCTTGTCCAATCAGAGAACTGTTTACATATGAGGACTAAGGCTTGGTGGCATTGGTGCGTTAAAGGTGTATATAATGTATATAATATATAATATAAAGAATTTTTTTAAAAATATGTCACATTTGGCCATACTTGTGTTTGGCACTATTCTTTTCTCTCAATAATAGTTTTCAGAAATCTATTGTGATTACATTATGCAAATAGATTTGATTGCATTTTGGAGTACTGCAATCACTAATGAGCAACTATTGGGATTCAGTTACAAACTAAAACTATTGTTTGATGTCATGTTGATGTTAAACTGGATTGCAGGTGTGGCGGTGGTGGCCAGCTGGGCGGTTGTTTTTTTTTGCATCTTGTTTGCAGATAAAAGCACAGGAGTATTTGAATATCAAATAACCTCCTCTCCCCACGTGCTTATCAGAGGAAATATTTGAATATATAAAATATAATATTAAAAACCCCGAGATGCTTTTAACGATTTTGCTGCAGCCGAGCCGCTCAAGCCATGAGAGTCCACCGCAAGTACCGAATATTCCCCTCCTCGTTAAAAAGTGCTTAAAAAACCCAATTTGTCCAACAAATGACATAAAAGCTCGCAGGAATAGGCTGACTTTCAAACGGACCGCAGGGTGACATAATAATAATGCAACAGCGTTCGTTAAAATCTTTTCAAAGCCGACCGGCAGACTTCAAAGAAGTCTTTTGATTGGCCGTACACAGAATGCTCAGTGGCGGCTTTTTTTCTTTTTTCCAGTCGCCATGACATCATGGCGTTCTCCGGGCCGTGGCCACTCAAGCGTGTGGACAGTATGGGGGACGGGGGGCCCCCCCATCATCATCACATGTTTAATTTATGGATATTTTGTACACACACACACACACACACACACACACACAATGCCGGCGTACAGGAGAGAAAATGGGCCGGTACTGGACCGCTGCAGGATGAGTCGTGCCGCTCAATAGGAGCCCATTGTGATGCAAAAACCCCAAACGTTTTCCAACCAGATCCGTCCCGGGACACAAGTACACCAGGGTGCATAAATAGACGCTTGAAAAGTCGTCCGGAAACAAAGGAAACTGTACTGCTGCCAACATCGCTGGAAAAAAAGGGAGTGAAGGAGGGAGGGAGGGGGAGAGAGAGAGAGAGAGAGAGGGGAGGGAGGGGAGGGCCTGACGAGAATAAAGGGAGATAGAT